TGAAAGAAAACATCTCAAAGCAATTTAACAAGTATAGGCAGGCAGGTTTCAATCTAGGTACATGTGAAAAAGGCTGAAGGAAGCCCTTCCTTCTTGATGAGGTATTATTCTATTCTAAAGTGGTTCAGTTTTGAGGAGGACTAAACCATGCCCTTTGAATCTACTTCTAAATAGCCAACCTTTCTTAGCAGAATTTATTTATTCATTCATTTACTTACATTGATAATGAGAGTTTTCTGGGTGGCTCACAAAACAAAACACCGTTCCCAACTATTCCTATGGAATTAGGATTTCTCTGTCCAGAAGAATGGCCTTAGTTCAGATCAGGTATCCTCTTTGTAATGCTGACAGCAACAAATACAGAGGCACACATTCTGAAAATCACTTCAACAAACTACTGTGATCCTTTGGGGAATTAATTTATTCCTAGGCTTGTGAAATTGTTGACCCATTTCTAGAGGCATCAGAGGGAATATGGGATATTGCATACTGTCTCATCTGCTGGACCTGTTCACAAAATAGCCAATTAATCTCCCTTCTGCTGAAATAAATAAATTAAAATTCCTTATTGTTAGAAGTAGCTGTTTCTCTCCCCAGCCCCAAGCATAGTTGGCCTTTAATGCTGTAGTTTATCTGAGAACATGACAGGATGGCTAAACTGTGTCTCAAGGTCAAGAAACCGAGAATAGGAAGAGAAATAAATGAAGCATGCATGCCAAGGGGAAACACACTTGGACTCAAGGAGAGGAAGGTGGCAATAATGCAGTCCGTGGTGTCCAAAACATAGATTCCCCAGCATCTTCACCTGGGCTGAAGGATGGAAGGGTGAATTGACAGTGGAGTTGAGAAGGCAGCAAGAAGACACTTACAGATAGAAAAAACTACATTGTGAGTGGATATGTAAGGAGGATGAAGATGGGTGTTTTGGGGGTGTATATGTGTAGGACTGGTCTGCAATATTTGGCAGCAGACATGGATCTGGAAACCCCAGCTGCTACTTTGCTGCAAAGTGGAGAAATGCTGGGAAGATTCGTTTGAGAGAATTTGTGTGTGCGCATGTGTTTAACACTTCACCAACAACTCCTCCCCCCCAATCAGATTTTCTCCATTTGATGTAGCACATTACTTTCATTGAGAGCTGAGCACCCTAAATCGCTTCTAGGAGTTCCCTCCAATCCTCTGGTGCAGGTTTGGGAAATGTGAGGATCACCCAGTCTTGGGGAAAAGTGGAGACAAGAGAAAAGTTTCATAGTGCAAGCATAAATCCTTGCACTAAAGAATAAACACATTAAATACCTCCCATAGAATTGAAGGAGGACTTGTAAGCCACCCAGTACGCCCCCTATTCATTGTATGAAAACTAGGGCTAAGCATCTCTAACTGATGGCTGACCTGACTCTGCTCCAAGAGTTTCAGTGAGGGAGAACCCACCAGTTTAGATAATTGATTACACAAGCTGCTCTTACTGTCAAGAGGTTTCCCCAAATGTTTAACCAAAATCTGCTCTCCTCTCATTTTCACTCATTGCATTTATTCCCCTGTCCCTTTGGGACAGCAGCAAATATTTTCTCTTTTCTATGTCAAAGTCCTTTGGGTATTTGTAGAGCACTATCACGTTAAACCCTCTGTCTTCTCTTCCCCAGGTTCAGTATACCCAATTCCTTCAACCTTTCATCACCGATTTTGTTTTATCTGTATACTTTTTCTGAGGTGTTTTTCTTTTTCTTCAAAGCTTTCCATTTTTTTGCATTGAAATGTTTTCTCCTTGAAACAATGTTGTGTTACTGTCTTGCCCATTTTTCACCTCCTTGTATTATCCTCTGTCTCTCCCCACTCTGTGTGTCCTTTTCTCTCTCTCTCTCTCTCCCACACACACCATCCCCAAGCACCTGATGTGCCACTTTAGGAGTTCTTGGAATGTATTTATTATTATTTTTTATTAATTTCCTTGCACACGCTTCTCGGGACAATAAGCCCCTTGATTATTACTTTTTTGAAAGGTGGTTGGTTATATGTGTGTTAAAAGAACAAGAATAGTTGATACATTTTGTATTCGTGAAAGAGGGTGGACTGTGGTTTTCCATACAATAAATTGACTTATCAGGGTATCCGTTCTGACAACCAGTTTTGTCAGCCCTTTAGTCATTATTCTGCAACTATCTTTGAAAAGAATTCTAGCTTTTACTTCAAATATATCATATTTGTTGGCTTCCTTTCTAACTGATGTCATATATCTATTTGCTGAATTTGCTCAAAACATATAGTCAATTGAAACGACTGCTTTCTCTCCCCGAATACCATACAAATCATAAGTTGAGAAATCAAGAGCAATTCCTCAGTGCCTCAAGTTTTGATAGATGTGCTTGCCTGTTCCTACTTTTCGTGAAAATGCCACCTACCCCCGTTAAAGGCAAGCCTATTTTCTCTTGACTGCAATGAATATAAAGAGGTGATGAAAGATGCAGAGAGGAGCTTTAATGTCTTGACATGATACCATTGTTTGTGATGTAAATAACTGCCAGAGACAACACTGCAAATGCACAGATAAGAAAAGTTGACTTCTGGAAGTAAAATGATAGCAGTGACTTTAATGATTTGAGAATGAAGGCAGAACAGATTGTTTTGATGTTGAGCTGAGGGTAGGAAAGAGGGAATCTGACTCAGAAAGCGGGGTGTGTGTGTGTGTGTGTGCGCGGGGGGGGGAGGGGAGAGAGAGAGAATGTTGCTTATGTGACCATAATACAAAATATAATCATGGAACAGTGACAGTGAGTAAATACGCTAGATTTGGCAGTTTAAAGAGTTAACCCTGTATTGTTTCACACTGTACTTCTATAAATAATGCATCAAACTTACTTTAATATGGGCCTTTATCATGTTATTCATTTTGGTCCTTGCCACTGTTTTATTCCTGCATGCTTAAAAAAGAGACTCTTGTCAGCATCCTTTGGCATTTTCTTCTGGTTCCTAATTTAAATGTGCTATTAAATGTGGTGGGTATTGTTGATTAGTTCATTCATCCTCTTCCTACAATTAGTTATTTCATAGGTGCTGCCATTATAAGAAAAATACTCAATACTTAGCATTTATAACATGCTTAATATACATTATCTGAATTTCCAGAGGGGTAGATACACTATTCTCTTGCAGGAAAACCAACAAAAAGTTGTGTGGCACCATACACACCAATATATGTATTATAGCACTACAGACAGAGTTTGGGATCCCAACTGCATGCGCTGTGTGAGAAAACACAAAGCAGTCACATATCTAAAGGTATAAATGAACACACCTTTATACATACTATGTTGCATTTATATGTTTAGCAGCCATTCAATTTTACAGCTAAGTACGGTAACACAGAGGCAAATCAATAAATGACTGGCTCAAGACCAGTCAGTCAATCAATCAATCCAGGGCACAGAATTCTTAAGCAGAAGTAACAGCTAGTTATAAAATGTCTCTTTAATATTAAGGGGAAGGTGGGAGAGATAGAAGGGCATGTGTGTTGGTTTCCTGAAAATCCAGATGATCAGAGTGTTGGATTTTTCACAGGACAGGGATTTAAAAGTGTGGCATCCCTGGCTGAGATGGTACAGACATAGGTCATGTTTGACTGAGTTTGCAGTTTAGCTCCCCTGGACAAACTATGAGACATAAGCCATAAGACAATCTTTGGTTACAGCTCATGGTTAGTAAAGGTAAAGGTACCCCTGCCCGTACGGGCCAGTCGTGTCCGACTCTAGGGTTGTGCGCCCATCTCACTTAAGAGGCCGGGGGCCAGCGCTGTCCGGAGACACTTCCGGGTCACGTGGCCAGTGTGACCAAGCTGCTCTGGCGAGCCGGCACCAGCGCAGCACACGGAAACGCCGTTTACCTTCCCGCTATAAAGCGGTACCTATTTATCTACTTGCACTTAAGAGTGCTTTCGAACTGCTAGGTGGGCAGGAGCTGGGACCGAAAGACGGGAGCTCACCCCACCGCGAGGATTCGAACTGCCGACCATGCGATCGGCAAGTCCTAGGCGCTGAGGTTTTACCCACAGTGCCACCCGCGTCCCTCAACCACAGCTCATGGTTAGGAGAGAGCTAAACCAGAAGCCTGGGTTTGGATAACATGCTATGCCAAACCATGGCTTAACCCAATACAGAGCAGGATCAAATCATCAGGGAGAAGTGAAGCACCCACAATCTCCTTTCTGGCAGCCCAAATGTTCATGTGTTTTCACTGAGCCATTTGGAATAACAACTGGGAATGAAGAAAGAGAGAAAAAGATTTTGTATTGAACAGTGTGTTCCTAATTTATCTCAAAAACAGAGTTATTCTGCAGGAATTTAAAAGTTAATCCTTTTAGTTTTTTTAATGGAAGCATATAAAGAACATAAAGCAAAACATAAATAAAGGTTGAGTTTCAATGAAATAGTCGCATTAGCAGGAGTCAGTACAGTGAGCCCCACTATGGGGCTTCCTCCCTTCCCCTATGCCCCCCCCCATGTCCCTGTGGGATTGGGAACTTCACCTGGGATTTGAGGAGTGGAATGATTGTAATAGCAGGATATTGGATTATACCCAAACTCCTGAACATAACAAATAAAACTCACTTCCAGAGACTAAAAGGCACAACAAAAATCATACAGTAATTACTTTCTACAAAGTACAATAGAGATATGACAAATGTCACTATTATTCCTAATGTTACTGTAGCAAAATAAACAACTATGAGTTCCACAAAGTAGTATGCTGAGATGGCAGCATAACATCATTCATTTCCTTATTCACATGCACTGCAAAAACAAACCACTCAGATCTAAAACTATCCCTCTTTTTTACTCCTCCTAGCCTATTTTATTTTGTCTACTTTTGAGCCAAAGCAGTATCCCGAAACATAGAAGATATATGATGGTGTTCATGTGAATCTTTCAAACAAGCAGTTTTTTTCAGCTGAATTTACACAAACAGGTTTTAAGATCGATTTTTCTTCTTCTTTTACTTCCTTCTAGATCTGCCTTGATTGAAGTGTGACATAAAATGTTACAGCGGCTTTGCTTCTCAAAATGGTTAGCGATAGGGATTGCAGTTTCTGCTGTCTTCATGGATTCTTTGGCCCAGAATGATGATGGTAAGTGTTTTTCTGTGTGCTGCATAATTCTGAAAAAAACAACAACCTATACTTGATTTCATAAATATATAATTCATAAAGCAAGTTCTCCCACATCTTCAAAGGACCACCCTATGTCTGTTTTGGCTAAAGTGCTGGGTAAAAGATAGAGCCCACAAATTCTGTGAATATATGATAATCTCATACCTCCTAGAATTACAGCTGCAGACTGTAGAATAATTACAGAGCAATTAACAAATCCTCAGCTTTGTACACCCCATAGTTTTTTGGTTGGGTCACCAGTGCAGACAGAAGGATGAATTAAGATGGCATGTTTTGGCATATGGTGAACATATGGTTTGAAAGTTTTGATTTTCAGTAGCAATTGTGATGCCAAGTTGGAATGAACCTATACAGTTACGGACAATTCTGCATGCAACTCTTCATGCTATTCAAGACTGCTGTTTCTTCCCCTTGGCTGGACATTTATTTCTTATCGGATTTGCCTACTTACATCCAAAATGGTGTGATATAGCAAGGTGGCACCAACATGAGAAAATCCCAAATGGTATAAACAAAAATGTGGGGAGTCATATGTTTTGCATCAAAACTGTAGAACCAATTCTCTCAGAACCAATGATTCTGCTTGATGGGAAGTTTGTGGAAGCTGATTCAGACTAAACATTAGGAGAAATGTCCTACTGATAAGAACTGTTTGACAGGCTAGTACATAAAGTAGTGGGCTGCCCTTTACTAGAGATAGGTAAGCTGAGTCTGGATGGCCATCAGTCAGGGATGCTGTAGTTGCAGACTGCATTGAGGAGTAGGTCATCCTACCTGACCTGCAAGGTTCAGCTCTATGAGTCAGAGAAAAAATTCCCCCCTCCAGAAAGATCAATCAGCTCTGTGGGCATGTGTATATTCTTCTTTTTAAAACATTCTAAGATCATTTCCAGTTTTCAGATAAAAATAGCAAACATTAACATATGAACATTATTTATGATGTTATTTGACTGAAAGAAAATTAGCTCAATAAAAACAAAACATAGAGCCTACAATCCATATATTATTCTATAGATCATGAATAATCATGATTAGCATGCACACAACTGTGTTTTACTGAACTAACTATAATACACCATATCTTGGATGTGAGTTTTAATAAGTGTCTAGATGTTTTCATCTGATATTCTGTCAAAATTTCTTGTCAGCGCCTTTTCTTACTTTTTCTGTTAGTCCAACTGTAGAGCAGTGGTTCTAGGAAAGTGTAGTGAAACTGCAATAGCAACCACATTACCTGTTTCATATAATGAATTTTCCTGGGATTTTGGTCACCTTGTTACATGGTTACAGAATATTTGCACCTCCCCCATTTCAGGATTGGTATGGAAATAAACATATATTGTGGGATATGGGTCATTTTCTACTTATAAGGTTGTGCTGGAAGCATTTCATGTGATACCTAAGTTTTGATGAGTTGTTCGTTTTCATAGTATTTGGAACAGGTTATGTAATGAGTTGAATGAGTCCTTCAAAGGTCACAGATTCTTGCTTTGTATTTGATTGTGAAAGACCAAATACTGGTAAATTCACTCATAATGGAACTATTTGTGAACAAATAGAAATATCAGAAGATTAATTTTAAAAGTATTCTACATTTCAAATAGATGCCACTTAGAAACTGAATGCTGGTTAATATTAACCATTTAGTTTGATTTGCTAACTTGCAGATGTTCCAGTCTCTGTCTAGTAGCCTAGAACATTAAGTTATACAGGAATCTATAGCCTGATATTATTGAGATCTTGAGCAAATGTCTAACTATTCAGAGCCAACAGTATTCAGGAGGGACACACTCAAAACTTCTAATTTCTTCAGCCTGCCTTCCGTACCCAGAAGGCACCAATATAACCCAGAAATTAAGTTCCTCTCCAGTACAAACTGACAAGTAGTTGTGGCTCAAATAATATATCCCCCAGCACATGGTAAACTTTGCTGCTGCTTTTGCTTAAATCACTAGGACGTAGAGAAAGTTGGTTTTAGGAGGCTCCTCTTTAGTCGGCAGTGCTATAACTGTTTCAAGAGCCCCAGGTTCATATTTAGCCTGTTGCTTTGCATTGTATCACTTTGCTATGGGAAAGTATGTTTTTTGTTTTTGTTTTTTAAATTATTTTAGCTGGGTTGGTAGTGGGAGGGGGTTATGCTGTTATTTGCTATGGATCATTATTACTTTGTTATATGCAATGGTGTTTTGAAAAGTAACCACTATTAGTTGTTCATGCTGTGCATCAAAGGACTGCTGCTACTTTCCACAACACTCTTGTATGTTTATACAACTATATTTAGACCAGCCCTTCCTTATAAGCAGCAACTGTCATCTGTCTTGTCTGTTTTCATCAACAGAGCTGAAAAGCTCAGAAGCTGCTGAACCAATTTGTTTTCAACCAGTATGGTGGGAGGTACTTAGAATATTTAGCTTTGCAACAGTTCCTCAAGATCTGTGGAAATCTAATTCCTGACCCTACTGTTTGATCTGCCCTGATGTCACAGACCATCTTAACTATCACCTGCCTGGCTTAATATTGATAGTCAGCTGCTGAGGCTATCTGTGTCATCACAACAGCTAGTTTCAGTGGAGCCAAAAGGGACATACGTAAAGTAGAGCCAGGCTGAAAATATTTTTCAACTACTGTTTGGGTGACAGGACCTAAAACATGACACTTGCGAAAAGTCATGGGGAAGTGAGAAATTTATCTGGATTTTTCAGGGTGGCATTGCTGCTTACCTTACTAAACCAAGGGTTTTGCTTTCTTTTCTTGCTTTCTTAACTAAAAATGTCCCATGCCACTCAAAGTAGTACAAGGCTTTTTCTGCAACTTCCTGCTGGCCACAAGTCCAGTGATGCCTTGGGAGCAACACCACAGCACATCACATCATTTCCAATGCATTAACAGCAGTGTGGTCAGTGTGTAACAGTAGGAGCTTCCTGCTGGTGCACTTCTTGGCAGTAATGTAAGCAGCATAAAAATCCTGAAAATTGCTCCCTCCACCCTCCAAGAAAGCCACAGAAAACAGGCTGCTGTTTTTGGAGGGGGAATATACTTGTCAGAAATGGGGTGTGTGTGATTTCAACTCAGGCTTATGGTAAGACCTCCTGTGGCATCGAAATGGGCAGATGGGCAGAAAGAAGGAATGTTAAGGAGAACATCTTTTGAGAGAACAAATATACAGTGGGACCTCGGGTTACATACGCTTCAGGTTACACACTCCGCTAACCCAGAAATAGTGCTTCAGGTTAAGAACTTTGCTTCAGAATAAGAACAGAAATCGGGCTTCGGCGGCGTGGCAGCAGCAAGAGGCCCCATTAGCTAAAGTGGTGCTTCAGGTTAAGAACAGTTTCAGGTTAAGAACGGACCTCCGGAACGAATTAAGTACTTAACCTGAGGTACCACTGTACAGTCAATCATACTGAAACTAGGATGGATGGGATTGCTTCACTCACTGAAATTGTTAAGATACTTTGGAAATAGATACTATAGAATCATAGAATCATAGAGTTGGAAGAGACCACAAGGGCCATCGAGTCCAACCCCCTGCCAAGCAGGAAACACCATCAGAGCACTCCTGACATATCGTTGTCAAGTATAGAATCATAGAATCATATGCTGAGTTGAAGCCAGACATTTCCTTCCATTGATAGAAAAGACCCTTCCGTTTGATCCAGTGGAGAGGGAAATTTTGCTGATTCTCCTCTCACCCTGTAGCCTGATGCACTACCCCACAAATGTGTTGCCAACAGACCAGAACTGTGTGAAAGCTGGTGCTGGGCATTTAAGAGGAGGGACGAATCAGCAAAAGTTCCTTCCAGCAGCAGCAGTAGCAGTGTCCCCTGAATGGAACTCAAGAGTGTCCCTTTGAAAGAACTCTGCTCTGGGGATTCTCAAACAGTGGATGGTGTAATGGATCAAGCTGGGATGTAAGGGCTCAGGTGGCCCTTAAGGTATCACAGAACAAAAAATTGTTCAGGAGTTTGTATGCACAAGAGCCTTGAAACTGACCCTGAAGCATATGGGCAGCCAGTACATATGATTTAGCAGAGATCCTCCGTGCTTTCAGCCGTCACCCGCTTTCATCAGTGAGAAATTCAGTCACTGCATTCTGCATTAGCTGAAGCTTCTAAATCAGGACCAAGGACAGCTCCTAGACCAAGTGTATTGCAGTAATACAGTCTTGAGGGTTCCAATGAATGGACTGCAGTGACCAGGCTAGCTACATTTGATCATAGGTGACAAAAGAGGCTACAAGGATATGTCCAGGAAGCTCTGCAAACCTGCTCCTTTCCAGAACAGGTGATTGCCTTATCTTCCAGACACAACAACCACCTACGGACAAGAGCCTCTTATCTTCCCAAGAGTCAAACTCAATTTATTGTTCCTCTTCTGATCCACCACTGCATTCAGGCGCTGATCAGCCATTACAGAGAAACTGAACTGTTGTCATCAATGTACTGATGACACCAAGCTCCAAAACTAATGACTTCTGTCAGGAGCTTAATATAGATGTTGAATAGTCTGGGAACAAAATAGTGCCAGGTCAAAAGAATGTCCCCCAGTGCTACTCTCTGGAGTTGCCCACACAAGTAGAAATGGAGTCACTGTAGTACAGTGCCTCTGAATCTCATGCCATGGTATCCAGGATAATACCATGATCAATGGTATCAAAGGTCACTGAGAGATTATGTGTAACAGAGTTGCACTCCCTCTGTTTCTCTGTCAATAAAGGTAATCCATTGTACAACTGAATCCATGTCCCAATTTGAAAATGAATCTCAATGACTGTTTATCTGCATTTGGAGAGTGCAAGATGTATTTATTAGTCTAATGTATACTAAAAGATACTCAATTCATTCATCTTTTATATGGTAACTAATTATTCTTAGCAATATGATCTCTGAATCGCTTTCTCTCCCCTCCATCCCCCCAGCCTGTGGGCAGGATGACATCTGTTGCAAGAGATAATATCT